GGGGTTTCACCATGTTGACCAGGATGGTCTCGATCTCTTGACCTCGTGATCCACCCGCCTCGGCCTCCCAAAGTGCTGGGATTACAGGCTTGAGCCACCGCGCCTGGCCATAAATTTATTCTTAAAATAAAATATGCAGTTGGGCAAGGTGGCTGATGCCTGTAATCCCAACACTTTGGGAGGCTGAGATGGGAGTATGGCTTGAGGCCAGGAGTTCAAGACCAGCCTGGGCAAAGTAGTGAGATCCTGTCTCTACAAAAAATATTTACAAAATTAGCCAAGCCTGTGGTATGCATCTGTAATCATAGCTACACATGAGGCTAAGGTGGGAGATTCACTGGAGCCCAGCAGATTGAGGCTATAGTGAACTATGATTGCACCACTGTACTTCAGCCTAAGGCTGTAGAGGCAAGACCTTGTCTCAAAAAAAAATAAAAATAGGCCGAGCACGGTGGCTCATGACTGTAATCCCAGCACTTTGGGAGGCCGAGGTGGGCAGATCACCTCAGGTTGGGAGTTTGAGACCAACCTGACCAACATGGAGAAACCTCGTCTCTACCAAAAATACATTAGCTGTGCATGGTAATGAGCACCTGTAATTCCAGCTACTTGCTGGGTGGGGGGAGGCGGGCAGGGCACTGAGACAAGAGAATCACTTGAACCTGGGAGGCAGACACTTTAGTGAGCTGAGATCTCGCCATTGCACTTCAGCCTGGGCAACAAGAGAAAACTCCGTCTCAATAATAATAATGATAATAATAATAATAGAAAGGACATTCAAGGGACTGAAAGATAAAATCAGGCTGGGCATGGTGGCTCACACCTATAATCCCAGCACTTTGGGAGGCCCAGGCAGGCACATCGCTTTAGCTCAGGAGTTTGATACCAGCCTGGGCAACACAGTGACACCCTGTCTCTACAAAAATTAAAAATTAGCTAGGCATAGTGGCGCATGCCTGTAGTCCCAGCTGCCCAGGAGGCTGAGGTGGATTGCCTGAACCCAGGAGGTTAAGGCTGCAGTGAGCTGTGATTGTGCCACTGTGTGATTTTATTCTATTTACAAAATTAAATAAAAGACAAAGAGCCCAGGCACTGTGGCTCACGCCTGTAATCCAAGCACTTTGGAGGCCAAGGCAGGCGGATCACCTGAGGTTGGGATCCCGTTCAAGACCAGCCTGACCAACATGGTGAAACGTCATCTTT